GTCGGATATATACAACGGATGTTATAAAGGATATAATACCAGAAATAAATGGTAGTTTCCTCTGCATTCTGAGGCTGTTTCATACCACAGGAAGAGAAGGAGGAGGACGCTCGGTTCTGACAAGTGACGGACATCATTCATCTGGAGGTCACTGACAACAGTTTTCGAGTTTGTTCTTCTTTTTCTTCGTAATTTTGATGGCATTCTGAGCGTAGTCGTCACGAAGTTTCATTAATCTGGAGGCAAAAATGCAATAAACAATTTAACCATAATGGTCGATAGAAGAGAAGATTGGAGTTATGGGAAGCAGTTAGAGAGGAGGAGGCGGGTTTTTGAAAAAAAATTATTTTTCTTGTCTGACGTTTCTAATTCCAACTCATATCAGGTATGGAGGCACTGAGAGTAAAGCAAATGTGCTTAAGAACCTGAGAGATTATTGTCGACGCGGCTGACTGATAATACAGCGAGGATGGGGAGGAACGATGCTAAGTTTCAAGATTACGGGACTCGGTACCACTTTCAGGTTTGAGAAGGCTTAAATTCGCCCTAAAGCCTACAACGTGTTAACAGCAAGCTATTTGAATTCTGATTCTCCGGTATCCAAGCTATTGAAAAGCTCTATGATCTAGCTTCTCCGTATCTAATGCTGGAGCGTTCTTTAGCGGAGTAAATGGACAAGCTCGGATTTTCCAGGTGAGCACTGCTTCCAATGACACTATCAGGAATCCAATACCTGCATAATTAACATATCAACAGCCATCACTGGTGATAAAATGCTTGAAGTTAATGATTCGTGTAAGGGTAATCAATCTTTCATCGTATCAAGTGAGATCCTAGGTGATGGATGTGGAAGACATCAATTTTGACAGTAATGCACTTTACTAAGAAGCGCAGCTTATGAATACTGTAACCTTTCTGCGTTAGTCTGCTTTAGGTGTTATTGTCCCTGATGATGACGTGAGTTGTGAAACTGAAACGTCAGATCCATAAAATTCTAATTCCGGTAATCATGCCTCCTTCTATTTGAGCACCTACTGCTAACAACCGGTGACTTTAAGATAGGCCGCCCTCATTGTATGTGAGTGACTACTTAGTCTGAAAGAGGAAAAACAGACTTAGAGCTGAAGACTCACCTGCAAAGTTTGACAACAGAATCCTCGATTTGTGTGTTCTTAAGGACACTGGTCTCCAGAAATTCCGCGTGATAAAGCTGCAAGAAAATTTTAAAGTCACACATCTCACCATGTTTCATTTAAAAAAAAAAAACAAACAAAAGTATGGGCCAGTTTAAATTTCCAAACTGAGGCCTTGAAGCAGCTGTTCATAAAGGTACTTGAATATGGTGTAGAAAGTGAATAAGAGCGAGGCAATGCCGCAGAGCAATTTTTTGGCTTAATGGACTGTAATGGAATAAATGGTTATGTGGATGCTGACTTGTTAAATTAACTTTGCACCTCCCGAATCCTTAAGAAACCGACTGTTAAATTTTTATACATTATACATGACGCAGGTGGCAATACACTGTTCTTTAAAATAACCCGAGGTATTGAATAAGAGAATAGGAAATCAGAATGAATGATCCAAACTCCTTAGAACCCCCCTCTCCGAAGCAAAATATGTACAGCACACTGCCAGCACTATTTGTCTGACGTTCCCTTTCTCCTTTTTAGATCTATTTCTCTTTCTTTTTATAGCGTGCTTTTAAAGCTAGAGTCCTCAAGATTAGAGTTGATTTTTAATACCTGCTATCCGCAAACCAGCTCTCAACTGAATTCCAGTCACTGTCTGTGTACTTCCTACTGAGCTGGTACTATCATTTGCAAATCGGCTTGCTGACTGGGTTCCCTGTTTGCCCCGCAAACCCAGCATTAAGTGCATCATGTTAACCGTTGACACTGAAGTAGAACTCGATACTCAAACAGAAACCCCATGTTCTCTCCACACTGAAGACCTTTTTTTATTAAAATTTGTAAACTTTTATATTCCATCTGCCGTTTACGTTCATATCGCACTTCGCAAGCTCTAATCTGGCGATACATAGATGCCTGCATTCTCTTCCTCATTCTTTAGTGCTCTCCAGTTGATTATCCAGCGTCACGTTAAAAAGACCTGGTCATTTTTAAACCTAACCTATGAATGCTTTTTTCGGCTGCCGGTGCTTCCTATGCTTTTTGAGCTGATGTTACAATGCCATGACACGTTAAAACGGTCAAGCAATGTGCTGACAGCATTCTTGATGACGTCGTTCATCCTCTTCAATCTGAACTAACGGCTGTAAAGTCTTCGCGTACTATGCGTCTAAGTTAATGTCATATATCGTTCCACTACATCGGCCTATCAGCACTCTATACTCCTATTTCTAGCACGCTGCCTCACGTGTGGAGAAACGGAGATTCAGAAGTTGAACTCAGACCTGTCTCTATAACGGATGTGGATATCACGTAAACCTTTAGACTTTGAGTATTCCATGACCTTTTACCTCACCTTATCCCTTGCTTTCAGTGAATGCAGCCATTTTTTGCTGAAACTTTTGGATACTTGCCTTCAAAATAAAACATATTCCTCGCTTTCTCATATTAATTCCGCCAATGCGACCTTTACCTTCGCTTTCACAAACCGTCTGCTGATAAGTCAAGGAGAGGGTGAAAAAGGGGCAGTCAAAAGTGCCTTATTACGATCACATGCCAAAATTTGTGGGTGGCAGATAAGCAAATGCAACTTAGCTTCCGTGAAAAACGTCATTGTAATAGTTGCATGCGGCATCGGCTCATCCTATGGCTCTTATTTTCTCTGTCCTCTCCAGAACGCCCACAGCAACACCTTATTGTGCGATATGAGTAATTATAAAATCTGTCAGAGAGGATGGAGACGCGAGGCGTGTGCGAATCTCCAAAGCCCTCTGGTTCAATTACATAGTTGTGGCGGTCATTCCTGAGAGCAGTAGTAGATGCCCTGGATGCTCCGATGGCTCCCACACTTTTGGCATAGCAATTTGCCTGTGCCGTACAGCGGCTAACGGCTGCATAACGAGCTACGTTGGTAGAGGTATGAATCGGAAGAGATCTGTCTACAATCTTGGCAGAACTCCTTGTACTCTTGTGTATTTGTCCAACTATTACTGGTTATCTTATTAAAGGTGCATGGGCATGTAGATATGTATGAGTTTCACTGGAAAAAATACCTTTGCCAAGTTTTGGCCCATTTCTGTTGTGATATACTCTGTCAGCGATGTCTTTGTTTCCTCCGTTCGTTCCCGCAAATCTGTCTTGTTGCCCACGATTATTCGTGGGATCATCTCCTCACCAGAATGTTCCTAAAACAATTCCACAAGCATGGTTCAATTAAGAATCGAAAAATTAACTGCGAAACATGTTAGTGAATAAATAGGGACTTAAATGCCTGCTTTCGGATAGTGCCACGATTAGGCTTCCATATCCGGGTTACTCTGCATGAGGAAGAATATTATTTATGTGGTGTGATTGTGTCTGAGGTAAAGAGCAGTAAGCTCCTGCAGTATAGAGAGAGAGTTCAAAATGCAATCTGAAGTTACATCAAGATACCCTCTTCTGCTGCTGCTGCTTCTTCTTCCAGCGGAACTATCAAAATTAATAAATCAGTTTAAATTAACTGCTTCAGTGAGTATTTTGCCGGTTTTACCGGAATTATTTATGATTTACGAAGATATAAGCATAAAGTTTCTGACGTTTGCTTGCGTTAGCACCAAAAGGGTTCTTACGTTTGGGCAGAACCGAGAATTGGTGTATCTAGTTGCTTCCTTGTCAAGAAAATATATTTATGAATGCCAAGACAGAGCTCTGACTAACAGTTCGAAATTGTATTTATTAAAAAGGTAAGAAACTTTTTCTTTGGTGTCCCACTGCCAGACAAAATGGCTGGATTCATGCGCTGGAAGATAGTTATAAAATCGATATTAATGCGGATTTAGCGCCTTAGAATGAAGTCCCAATGCTGAAAAGCTAATGAAGGGGATGGTTGATCAGGATAGAAATTAGAAGACGGTTATTTTGCAATGTCATACCCTTAAGTAATCACTAGAACCTTCATGTTTCACCCCGCTAACAACTCTCCGAATCATGTTTTCAACGTTTCTGAAATTTCCTACATAATTTACCACGTGCCGGAGGGCCTTCTGTTCCTTTGATGTTATTTCGGAATTCCGGTAATTGAAAAGTAGCAAGCATTAACTCCATCATGATTTATAGATCCGTGACTGTGTCATAATTATCCACTTTAGTTCATTGACAAGACAGATAATTGTCAGTAAAAAAATAAACAAGTTCATTGACAAGACAGATAATTGTCAGTAAAAAAATAAACAAGTTCATTGACAAGACAGATAAATGTCAGTAAAAAAATAAACAAGTAGTCGAGATGGCAACATGACACATTCAAAGTTCATAAAGATTTGAGTATATTAAAACCATCAGTAGACTGGGTTTGGCAAGGAGACATGGAACATATGTATTCCTCAGTCGATTTCGAACAATTGAATAACGTTTTTTTTCATTGATGAGTCCCTGTCTTTAGTAAAACGTACCTCTAAAAGTGAGACCCAGTTGCGAACACCGAGGAACGAGCTTCGGTTGCTGACGTCGTACATTAAAATGGCGCCATCGCACTTTCTGAAGTATTGGGATACCACACTGTGAAACCTGAAAACGTCGTAAATTTGGGAATTAGTTATTTCAATTATACAATTCAATCGTTCTTCTCAGCGATGTTCTCGAAACCATATTATTTTTGTTGCGAAAAGGTTAATGAACAGTCGGAGGGTGAGGGCCCAAGATGATTAAGTGTAAACCCATTAGTATATAAAGGCACCCGGTATATGTTAATAATGAACTACATAAGGCAATCTCCAAGCCCTCCGAGCTTTTACTACACTCTATTTTTACAAGGTTTGTTAAATACATTTGCCTTCTAATTTGTCATATGAAAATGCTCTTCCGCCTTGTGCAGTTGAGTTGCTAATAAGTTCCCTATTTCGTTATCTCATAAAGGAAAAGGACTTGCCTCTCCTGGCCAGCGGTGTCCCAGAGTTCAATCGTGCATAGTATGCCATCAATGAAAAGATTTCGCGCTTTGAAGTCCACGCCTATATTTACAAAATAAACAAAAAGGATAAGTTAGTGGCGGTGTCACCATAAATCTGCTTCGTCAGAGGATACGTATTTTGGGAAAGGGGACATCATAAGAAACCTTTCATAATGCCCGAACGTATGATTTCTGTTCTATTAAGCCAGTTTCTGCACAGTCTTTCTGAAGAGTGGAAGTTTAAAGTTTATCGACAATGGAAAACCAAAGGACTCAGTCAAAATAATGATGACTCTTAAATATAATATAGCGATGATCCGTTTTTGTTTCTTAGTGTTGGGATCTGACACCGTGCTCTTTTATTACTGTTCCTACCGTAGCCCAGGGCTAACACCCTCGAAAGAGAATCGATGACGGTAGCCAGTAGCTGGTGCCACGGAAAGCATTAACCAACTGCTTCTTTACTGACTATAAAGATTAGTTCAGAGAAGCTGGATATCTTTAACTTAATCGAAGATTCATAATTGAAACGACGTTAATCACAAAATACTTTATTCCTTGGAATTTCGGTCGGCATCTGCGGCTCTCTGATCTAAAGTTATATGCGCAAATATTGGCTTTTCTATGTCTTTTTTGAAAATCATAATTCTCCCTCCTTAGCTGTTGTCTGATTTACGTTCATTTTATTGACAAACCCATTCATTGGTGCTATGCCCTGCTAATACATTGTGTTCTCTTAAAAACTGTACGGAACAGTGAAAAGAAACAAAGGAGAAGTAGATGCGCTTGCTGAGACAAGAGTTTAATTCGCCTAATGTTTCGGATTCTTTTGTGAAACCATCATCAGAGACCGTAGCAGAAGCGTTCATCTTAATATCTGTGATGATGGGTTAGAGAAGGGACCCGAAAAGTCAGATAAATAAAGTCCTTGTCCCCAACGATCGCGGTCGCGCCTCCATTGCTTCTTGCGGCTCGCATTTTCGCTTGTACCTAAAAGACACACCGTCTAAGTTGCCACTAGAGGAGAATATCCGAGTTCCAGGAAGCAGTTCAGAAGAAGAAGTAGTAGTAGTAGTAGTAGTAGTAGTAGTAGTAGTAGTAGTA